GGAACTGGAATGCAACACTTCATAACTACTTGGTGAAGGAAGGGTTTATGCAATCCCAGGCTGACCCTTGTGTCTACCATAGGTTTGTTGATGGTGATGCCAGTAAGTGCATTATCTTGATTATTTGGGTAGATGATTTACTTATTTCTGCAAGTAACTCTGATTTGTTACAAACGGTGAAGGGAAATTTAAGTGAGAGGTTTAAGATGAAGGATTTAGGAGTCTTACATTGGTTCTTGGGCACTGAGTTCAAATGTTCTGATGGTATGATAGAGATGAACCAAACTCGCTATATTGAAAAGGTGTTAGAAAAATTTGGAATGAATAATTGTAAACCTAAGACAACCCCATCTGTTCTTGGATTTGACAAGGTTATTGATATGGAATCACCTGTCTTAGAGGATCCCAACTCCTATAGGCAGATTGTTGGAAGCCTTATTTATGTCATGACAGGTACAAGACCAGATTTGTGCCACATTGTGACAAAGTTATCTCAACACATGTCAAAACCTACGGCAGCAGCTTTAAATGCAGCAAAGCATGTTCTTAGGTACTTGAAAGGAACGTCTGTTTTAAGTTTAAAGTTCAGAAAAATGAAACAACCTTTGGAGTTGATAGGTTTTAGTGACTCTGATTGGGGAGGTTGTGTTAGTGATAGAAAGAGTATTTCAGGTTATTGTTTTCAACTGTCAGAATCAGGACCTTTGGTGTCCTGGAAAAGTAAGAAACAGCAGACAGTTGCGCTGTCCACTTGTGAAGCCGAATATATCGCACTGGCTGAAACTGTGCAAGAAGGTAAGTTTTTAAAGCAGTTGTGTATTGATTTAGGGATATTACAGGTAAGTAATAAGGTGTTGATTAATGCTGATAACCAAGGCGCGATCAAGTTAGCAAAGAATCCAGCATTCCATAAGCGGTCCAAGCATATTGACATAAAATACCATTTTATAAGGAGCGAAGCGCAGCAAGGCGCAATAAGCTTAAGGTATATCGCAAGCGAGGATAATTTAGCGGACATATTCACAAAACCGGTAAGTAAAGTTAGGATGGATAAGTTCAAACATTTTATCTGTAATTAGTTGTGAAGTAGGAGTAAAGTAGGCGAAGTTAGGACATTGCGAGCAAGGGGGGGTGTTAAGTTGTGCTCTTATGTATTACGTAATTTATGTTATTAAAGTAGAAACAATTGTTAGTTGTAATGTTATTAGTAATTGATATATTAAGTTACATATAGATAAAGAGCAAGAGACTCGTGACTATATTTGGTAAATATCTGACCAATCACCGTAAAGCGTAACTTATGTAAATAGTGTATATTCATTGTAAAAGCGTGAGTTGTATTCTGTCTGTCGTGTAAAATAAAGCTATAAGAAACTTATGTGCTCAAATTGAATATAATAAAGAATGGCAACCGCCACAAACCCAACAATTTCATAGCCCCTCTCCCCCCAATTCTGAATTCAATGAATCTAAGTCAGTTTCGTAAGCATTTTTCCTGCCCTCATACTCAGTTTACTTGCAGCTGTAAAGAATATTGTAAATATTGAAAATGATAGCCAAGGTGGACAGGAGTGACTTTAGTTTCACAATAGACACAATAGACAATTCAGACTTTATACCTGAAAAGTTGTTGGCCCTCAAACAAAAAAACCACACATCAGGCCTAGTCTTTTACTAATTGATAAAAAAACATTTGTGTCTGGTGGAAGCATTATATTGAAGAGATGGCAGAAGAGACTGTAAACAACATGCAAAAACAGAACATGCCAAAGAGGTCCGCTGTGTTAAAAAGCGTAAAACAGGACAACAACTGTCAATTGAATCTTGCCTAGTTGCAAATACAGTGCATGACCCTTCAGACAAATTCTACGGTGATGAGGATGACAATTTCCATATACAGTAGTTAGAACACAACTTTAGGTTCAATATATTGGGCATTACTGTTCAATGTATGTATGTATACTGTATATATCCATTACTCTTTTGATATTACATGTTACAAACTATTCCATAGATTTTATTTTTGCCCCCCCCCTTTATGTTCAAAATATTTTCTGCCCCCCCCCCACTTCAATGGTTAAAACTTTTTGTGGCCCCTCTAAATTTCGTCCGGCCCCCTACCCGGCATTAATAATGACTGGTCCCTTACTGAGCTAGTGAATTTGATTGCATTTCAGGGCTCTGAGAGGCCTCAGATTTAAAATCTTCTGGGTAAGCGTGCCCCCAGACCCGCTAACAGGCTCATGCCTTTGGCAGCTCCCTCACTGACCCACCCACCAATTTCTTGATGACACAATTGATTGTTTCCCCACTTCTGTTTCAGTCTGGCTATGCCACTGCTCACAACATCAAATTTAACAGTTTCAGGACTATTAAAATCAGGAGTTTTGTTTATATGACAAAATCGGACAAGTCAATTTATTGTATGCGGACCATTAACAGTTGACTTGTTAACAGTACACGACTATATGTTGATGTCATATAACAAGTGAATCCAGTGTAGTGGCCCTGGCTATTTTGCTCTCGTTGCTCCCCTCTCTGGCCTTGTGCTTAATCCTGGTCTATATTAAGTGTATTAAATTAACTAAGAAATTATTTTCACCGGAAAAATCTGTGTAAGACAGATCGCCAGGGCTAAAACAAAACAGTAAGTCTTATGACCACAAATTTTACAAGGTTTTTTTATGACTTTAATGTCCAATATTGAAATTAAAAAAATTTCGTACTATCCATCCCATGAATCTTACCTGTGAAACGAATTACTCGTCCTTTTATGTAAAGTAAAGTAAAGTAAATTGTTGCATCAGCAAGTGGAGCAAAACGGCACTTTAATTCCTTCCAAGTTGAAAAAAAACCCAGCAAAATACGAGAAAAATATATTATGTTTTTAACTAAAAACACTGCCAAAACCAGGGGGGTGAAAACGTCGTCTGAAGCTCAGGATCGCGGTTGGTCAGTGGCAATTCTGTGAGAATTACGGACCAGTTGTCATAGAAATGGCGTCAGCAAACGTCAAAATCCGCCATTTTTTTTTGCTTCACTTTGATCACTGAACGAAGTATAGGAGCAGGTCCTCCAGTTATTATACAGCTCAGTGAGCGTAACTCGAGCAAATATTTTTGTCCGCGTTTTTACAAGCGATTCGTCATCAATCACGCCATCCTGGCTAGTACAACCGGCACTTTGTACCTACCAAATCCTGATAAAAACTTCCGGCTGTACTAGCCAGGATGGCGTGGCCTGACGTGAGCGAGTTAAAATTTTCGTGGACGTCAAACAATAAGGGAAACGACTATAGAGTTACGCTTCTGGTATAACTTCCTATTCTGTGACTGAGCTATACTTACTGTAAGTATAGCTCAGTGGGCTCTACCCACTACCCAGAGTATGCCACTGAACTATATAACATGGAAGTCTGACTCGAGCTCAAAAAGTGAAGCCAACATGGCGGAATTTGAAGGCATTCTTGCGCGTCATTCTCAGTCCCCTTACGTGCGCGGTCAACTAAACGCGGGTAATCCAAATATGATTAGCCCCTATATCTTTTTCCGTTTTCCTAAGTAAAAAAGTAAAACAAACATTTATTTAAAGCTGGTAGAGATTAAAAACGAAATGTAGATATATCATATTAAAGATGCCGCGTTATTGTGTTGTCCCTAGCTGTAAAAGCAATGAACGAACAAAGGATAATAGGCCTGTATTTTTCCACAGGTGAACATATTATATTTTTTATTGTTTTTATTAAAAAAAGATAAACAATATACACATAAAAAAGCCTTTTTTCCCACACGGTATCATAAATTAATTATTCAATAATAACATATATACACGAATTGTTTCAGAGCACATGTTTTTGTTTTGTTTTGACCCGAGTGGATTTTAAATTTTAATTAAATTCGCAAAAAAGCCCGCGATTTTGACCGGGAAGAAAGGAAAATGGCGCTTGTTGTTTTCATCGCGAATAACAAAAATTTCGACAAAAATAACAACATTTACCCGTTTAAGCTAAACACAATTATTTGTCAATTTAATTAAATTATTTTTACACCTTTTTGTTGACATAAATACTTCTAGCTAACAACTGTTATTGATATAGTCACTTTTTTCATAAAATAAATAGTCATACAAATTTAAATGTTTATAGACATCTTGAACCAATTGACCCTTTGCAAAAAATGGCATATAATGAAAACATCTGGAGTTCATTATTTCACATTCTGAGCAATGGCTTGTTTGTAGTTATAAACTAGTTTACCCACAGGGTAGTGAATGCTGCCTTGGTATGGCATTGTTCCCAAATCTTTAATATTTTAAAGAATAAGAGTGAGAAGTATTTGTAATCACCATTCCCCAATTAACCAAAATTTTGATCTCAACAAGTCTAGACAAAATTCCATCATAGCATGAAAGAGCATCGCAAAATTAGTAATATTCCAAAGTTTCGTTGCGAAATGTTGTAAAATGCGGATAATATAGCCTTGCGAAATTTGCAATTTTCAGCCATTTTAGATTACAAACGGGAAATGGTTACATCTTTTCCAAAATTTTGGTCTTAAACTAGCCTAAACAAAAATTTCATCACAACTTGAAAGAGCATCACAAAATTAGTAATATTCCAAAGTTTCTTTGCAAAATGTTGTAAAATGCGGATAATATAGCCTTGCGAAGTTTGTAATTTTCAGTCGTTTTGTAATTTGTATTACGCACAGAAGTGGTAACCATCTCCTGTTTGTAATCTAAAATGACTGAAAATGGCAAAGTCTAGATTTGTCGAGTTCAAAATTTTGGTTAATCGGGGAATGGTCCGTTGGAATCATCCATAATTTATACACTTGAATGTGCCGTATGATAACTCGGCGCTCGTAGTTTCGTATCGAAAGAGGAACAGCCGAACAGGTACGATGGCTAACAAGAACGAGTGTACTTATCAACTTATCTAACGCAAGGAAAAGATCAAAATGGCAGGTATGGCTGTGATATCTAGTATATAAAATTGTATAGACAATTTGCCTACAAATACGGTGCTAGGTCAAAACGGCCCCGCTTCAATAATCATATGATTTAGACCAGGGGTTAAAGGGCAATGACATGCAGGTGACATTTAACATGTGCGAGTGTGCGTCTCACTAAATTTGCGTGTTTAATAATGTTTATCAAAGAAGGCAAAAATATATACAAGACAACCTCACATGTGGAATCTATTCACTTACGCACTGCGTTGTGATGCAGTACAAGTACAAATACAAATGACAAAGCATTTTTAAAGGCTTTAAATCCTAAAACATAATTAAACCATACGGCGCATTCAAGATTTTAATATCGTATTTCAGCCGCGTTTATACTGCTTGGCGCGCATTCGCTGCGTTATATTAATTTATATACCTATGTTATATACACATATTTATTACTAATAAATCAACACTATATGATAATATATAAGAACTCACAAAATGCAGTCACCTTTTTATAAATAAACCTTTTTAAGCATGTCATTGTCATTGCAGACCAGAGGCAAAAAGCACAGCCACATAGGCCTACCAGATTTATTAAGCAATCGTGAGATTATATACATGGAAAGAATATGGAAATTATGTTAAAAGCACCCCGTATAATGACGAAAGCACCACGTATAATGCTCGAACCACTGCGTATAATAGCGAAACCACCGCGTATAACGCTCGAACCACCACGTATCAACAAAATGCCGTTTGATCACTTACGCCAGCTATGGCTTTCCATAAAAGAAAACCAAAGATGAAAGATGATCACATTGCTTGTTTGCCTTATGCCTGTTTATTAGGCAAGAATAGCCTGCCGGCCCGGAAGCAGTGCATTGTGGTAGGCCGAAATACGCCGAAACGATCGAGATTTCATCTGCCCTATTATATATATACATATACATAAAGATTAGGACTGCTGCCTCGCTCGCTCGCTTCACGCTCGCTCGCTACGGCAGCAAATATACAATACACAATATAATACTCAAGATGTCATGCATGAACTCATTTTTAACAAGGTCAATTGCAAGTTGTCTATATACACAAAAAATTGCCAATATGACTTGAACATATTTATCATTATTTTAAGCTAGTCTAAAACTGATAGACAGTTGAATAGCATTTATTGTGAGAAGTATAATACAAATTAGCAATGCAACAATGTGTGTAAAACTCTAAGAGAAAAAATCAAAACAATTGCAATTTGTTGCTAGATCCCCAATGAAAAACACAGTATTACTTACACAGTGGGAGAAGGCAGTGGCGTAGCCAGACCTTCATTTTTGGGGGGGCCAAGCGAACGCCGAAGGCGCGAGACCATCTATGGAGGTCAGGGGGCATGCACCCCCGTGAAAATTTTGAAATTTAGAGTCCCTGAAATGTGATTTCAAGCATTTTGGGGGTGAAATCTTGCAGAATTCCGAAGATTATAAAGTACGCTCTAGGGGGGTTCGGGGGCATGCACCCCAGGGAAAATGTTAAAATTTAGAGTCCCTGAAATGTGATTTCAAGCATTTTGGGGTTGAAATCTTGCAGAATTCCGAAGATTATAAAGTACGCTCTAGGGGGGTTCGGGGGCATGCACCCCAGGGAAAATTTTAAAATTTAGAGTCCCTGAAATGTGATTTCAAGCATTTTGGGGGTGAAATCTTGCAGAATCCCGAAGATTATAAAGTACGTCGAAGACATAAATTTTCCCCGACATTTCTAAGTTTCTACTCGCTTTTATATATGATACAGAATAAGTCTGAGAAGAATATTCATGTTATCATAATGCATATACATGTAAATCTAAACTAAATCTATTCCTCTTGGAACCATATCTACAACTGTTTTAACGAGATTTTAGAAATCAAGTTCTTCCAGTATTTCGTCGTTTTCCTCAGTCGAGACGTACTTAATCCGTTTCAGCTTCGAGGATGTAACGTGTACCCCCCCCCCCCTCCCATTTCTCTACGGATTTAGCCTTTTTCAGAGAATAGTTTTTTTGCGATTGGGGGGGCGACCGCCCCCCCTTGCCCCCCCTTGGCTACGCCCCTGGGAGAAGGCAGTAAACAGAGTAGACAGCAACAAAAATCAGTGGAAGGCAAAAAGCTTTAGCAGCATCTGCAGTAACCACTTCACAGTTTCCAACTACACAGCAACAAAAATTGGATCAATTATCTTGAAAAAAGATGCAGTGCCAACCCGGGCACTCACTGGTGCTAACACATCACAAGTGATGGGGATGGATAAACCTTCACTAAAACGACGCTGTTTGGAAGTTGACCAGTCTTCGACCCAAATTGTTATGCATGACCATACTTATGCCAAGCCTCAAGAATCTTTGCCAATCACACAGTCTTCACACATCCTTCAGTCTTTGCCAATCCCACAGTCTTCACAGAGATCTTCGCACATCCTGCAGTCTTTGCCAATCCCAGAGTCCCAAGTCCCAAAGCCTTCACACATCCTGCAGTCTATGCATGTCCCACAACCTGTACCTTTGGTCGAACCTGAAAAAGAAAATAACAACACACAGTCTGGGCAATACAATAATGATCCACGGCTGAAGCGAAAGATAAAAGCATTACAGCAAAAGCTAAGAAGAAGAGAAATGAAAGCCAGAAACATGAAGCAGTTAATAAACACGCTTAAGAAAAAACTATTAATCAAACAAGACGAGGCTGAGCTACTACACCATAATTTCAATGGACTGAATCTGTCGTTATTTAACAATGTCATGAAGAATAAGGCCCAAACATGTGGTAGAAGATACACTGATCAGATTAAAGAGTTTGCAGTTACAGTACATTTTTACTCACCCAAAGCATATAATTTTGTTAGGACCATCATACCACTACCTGCTCCCTCGATGATAAAAAGCTGGGCAAGTTCCGTGAAATGCAATCCGGGATTCATCACAGAGGCATTTGAAATACTAAAACATGAAATAAAAGACCACCCAGAAAAGAAGGACTGCTCTCTGGTGTTTGATGCCATGGCTATAAGAAAGCAAACTCTGTGGGATCCGAGAACAGATTCGTATGTGGGTTTTGTCGATTATGGTGACTCGCTCACAGAATTACCGGTATCAAATGTCCTAGCATCTGAAGCACTGGTATTTGCTCTGGTAGGTTTACGCAGCCATTGGAAATGCCCGATAGCCTATTTCCTAATTGATAAGATTTCTGCAACCATCCAAGCTCAACTTCTTCGCAAAGCATTAATCAAGACGGCAGAGATTGTTCTCAAAGTGTGGTGTCTTACCTCTGATGGCACCTCTTCCAATGTAGCTACGTTCAAGCTTCTGGGATGCATATTTAGATTGGCATACAAATCCATGGTAACGAAGTTCAAACATCCAACACTTGATTATGATGTTTTTGTCATGTTGGATCCGTGCCATATGTTGAAGCTAGCAAGAAATACCCTGGCAAGCCTTGGATCCCTCTCCATTGAAGAAATTTGCTGGAAATTTATTCAAAACCTGAATGACGTTCAACAAAATCATGGAATGAAGCTCGCCAACAAGCTATCAACAAGTCATATCAAGTATGAAACACACAAGATGAAAGTCGACCTTGCTGCACAGACGCTCAGCTCTTCTGTTGCCGATGCCATTGATTTTCTCAACATAGTGGAAAAGGATGAACAATTCCAAGACAGCGAAGCCACAGTCACCTTCATCCGCACTGTTGATAAAGTATTCGATATCCTCAACTCAAGGAATCCCTTGGGAAAGGGAAGCAAGCAGCCATTGAAGTTGGCGAACAAGCTAAAATGGGAAGCAGAGCTGATAATGATTGCAAATTATCTCCTTTCATTAAAGTCAAGAGATGGCCAATTGCTTATCTCCCACAAGAGAAAAACCTTCATTCTTGGCTTCGTCACATGCATCAAATCCAACATTGAGATGGCCACAACAATGCTGACACAAGATATAGATCCTTTCAAATATCTCCTCACTTACAAGTTTTCACAGGATCACATCGAGATTCTTTTTTCCTGCATCCGAGCCAGAGGTGGATGGAACAACAACCCAAATTGTCTTCAGCTACAGTATACACTCCGAAGAATGCTGCTAAGAAATTCCATCAGCGCTTCAAAATATGCCAATTGCCAGATCCTAGATCAGCACTCGGTTGTGCCAATCCTACACAGAAGAAAACATGCATCTCCCTTAAAAGAGAAACCTGCCCCACCAGTGGTCGATGATGAAGACAACACTGATTTAAGTAACATGGAGTACCTGCAAGAAGCAGAACACTCAGAGTTTACCATGTATGTCCTACATTACATCTGCGGATATATTGTGTCAAAGCTGGCTAAATCAATATCCTGTTCCCAATGTATCGAGGAAATCACTGCTTCACCTAATCAGAGCCAAGAGAGATCTGATCATGACTACTGCCGCAGAAAAAGTGCAGACGACATGTATGACAAAGCTGCAACATTCACCAATTTTGTCAACAGAGGCGGTCTACATGTTCCATGAGGCGCGGATCCAGACTGATGCAACTGATGCGAATGCATCAGTCAAAATTTTCACACGAATGAGAATTGTCAACATTTTATTAAAATATATTTAAATATTGGTTGTCTTTGATCCAAAGTCCTTTAAAACAATATATTTTCACAGGAATGAATGTAAACAAAGCTATATTTCGCAAAATATTATGAAAAACGTAAACGCATATCGAATTTCGCACTTATCAAGTTGTACGATTTTGTGTCGCGACTTTATTTCGCCACATATGTGTGTTTAGTTTGTTGCATCCACTATTATTACAGCTCAGTGTATGCATCACTACGTCACGTTGGGGCCGGCAGTGCATCACTACGTCACGTTGGGGAGAAAAGTGCATCAGTGGCGCATCGGTCCCGAGTCTTTTGGCCGAGTTTTCCCAACGACACGTCACGAAAACCATTGTTTTCATGCCTACGTAACGTTGGGAAATGGATGCTGACTGATGCGTTTAGCCCGCGATCAAAATAATGCGCTTTTGACTGATGCATTTCGCCCGCAATCAGAACAGTCAGTGATACATTTTATGGTCGAATTGTTATATAATGGCGCGGGAGTATTAATGGAACATTGTATGTCGCATTGTATGGAAATATTTTACGATCTTTGTTGGTTCACTCAAACTCACTGAGCCTCAAAGCCGTCGAAATTAAAAGGTTTGTCAGCTATTTCAGTAATTTCACAAGGGAATGTTTGGGGTCTGTGTACTGTGTTTATAGAGGTAGATTTAATGAGTCTGTGTGTGACTGTGTGTTGATATTTATAATAAATACTGTAGGTATAGGTATATTTGTCGTAGTATAAATATCACAATTTTACAAAATTTATTATATTTGAACTGTTTTAAATATGTCAACATGGATGATCCTGTTTTGGCTGTTCACATATAAACACTCAATATGCCATTCAGCCATTAATTATATAGTGTGTAGGGGGGAGGGGGGGAGGTTGTGTCTTAATTTGTTTGAAAATGCAAATTGAATCTAGATGCTTGATAATATTTTGCAGTTCTCCCTGAGATTCTTACAGTCTAAGGGACTCTGTCTAGGATCCTGCAACCCTTACTAGCAGCTATATTCCTGGCACCTGCCGGTTACTTGGCCGGTTACTTGTTAGGTGCTGTTTCCCCAAAACACTGCTATCTGTATGATTACACACCATGCCTTGGTTGATGCTCACATCAATATACCGGCACCTAATTAGATCCCTTCCATATCCAAATCCATCCCTGTATGTCATCATTTTGGAATTGGGAAGCTCTTGAAGCTTCAAAACAATATTTTTAAGGGCAATGTTTGGTGATAGTGAGATTAGTTCAGTTATATATTATCTCTATTGTTCCAGAATGATCACCTGGTACCAGAAGCCATCAATCACACTAAATGGCATTACATGTATCAGGGTTGCCCCTGCCAAGGTGAGGGGAGAGGCACAGGGGGTGACCGGCAAATTATTGTGATGCTGAAAATAAAGGGGATTCGCATGTTTAGGAAGGGAATAAATTTAGCTGGGCTCTCTCAAGTTCGACCCCTTAAATTTGTGATGCTTTTCCTGGCATTGTTCATATGCCTTTAAATTATACCATTCTCAAGACCATGGCTCAGCACAAGGTGTTCATTTTAAATGTACCAGTCTAATTAGTAGTTACTGTATGGGACCAAATTACTGTTCTGATCATTCTATCATTTATTTTCAATACAACAAAGGGTCATTGCATAGAATACATTAATGTATAAATTGATAAATTATCTCACTTTCATTGATAAGTCAATGTACTAATTGAGTTGATCACAATATACTGCATTGCCACTGTTACTGAAGCTTGTCAATCCTGCTCATGCAATCAGATACCTACCAAGTCCATAACTGCACTTCTCCCTGTCTATCCTTAATATCTTGAAACAGCAGTTTTGGATACATACAGTAGTCCTAGACACTCTCCTGAATGTACTGTAATATGGGATTCAATGCAAAATCTGTGGAGATATATTGGTCAATGTATTGTAGATATCCAGACTTCAAATACAGTAGAATAATCTGTTTTCTGCAAATAGTTTCAATAATTGTTTATTTTTATTATTAACTGCTCAGCAACAATGAAAACTATTACCTAACACCCTTGAATATTTTGATAATCTTACAGTATTTAAAAATTCAAACTGCATTTGTCAAAATGTTGGGTATAAATGCATCCATAAATATTAGAGTGACTAGCTCCAGAGAGGGCCTTCATATACAGTAACTCAAAGTTGCCCTGGAATTAATCCTGGATTATTAAAATAATTTAACTGGAATTTATGTCATGGTGGTGCTGCTGGAAGGCATTTGATCTGGAACATTGTTATATTGATTGGTGTTAACTGGTAACAGGAAGTGATAAGTTACAGGAAGTGATATCATTGGCAATGAATATAATAGTTTGCTTGAGGTATTCTTATCTATTTTGCATAAGAAACACAACCCTGATCAGCTTTTCATGTCATTTGCACCATATTTTACACAGAAAAAATGTCTGTGGTTTTGCTTTCAATTATTCTATCAGTATGTTGTGTACATGTAAGTAGTGTACACTTGTATGTAAAATTGTAAATTATAGCTACAACTTTGCTACTCTATAATCCTCACTCAAATAGGATTAAATAAATAAGGCTAGTCAAGTTTCGATCTGATAAAACTCCGCGTAAAAATGTTTTCAATTTATTTTAAAACTCACATGATTATGTTGTTCTCACTCTATAAGGCAGATTTTTTACGTTTTTCCCCCCAAAATCCAGCAAATTACGTTTCGATTTTGATGTGTAAACTTCGAAGAAAAGCTCCCTCAGAACGCAGGAAATCGCATTTCCGAGGTCCTAGATTTCAAAATTTCCCGGGGGAGGATTCCCCCGGACCCCCCTACAAATGCGAGGTTTAGTGCATCAGTCAACAAAACCACTGGATCCGCCCCTGATCTCACTCTCTACTATATAATAAAGTGTGATATAACAAAACCAGGAAAACTTTGCAAGCGGACGGTTCGCTATAAACGTAAGTTTATGAAACTACAATTGTCTCGAACATTTTTATGTGAATTTTTATCCCCGAGCGGACGGCGCGAAGCGCCGTGCAAGGGTACTAATTCCACCCCCGGCTATTTACACCCGGGGAAACGAAAGCATTAGCGAAGTTTAAAGTTTATCAATGATCGTGGGCGCTCACCAACGGTGTTGAGTGGGTGTTCATCACTGATCTCAAAATATGGCTGTTTCCCAGGAGTGAAGAAGGCAAAAAAAATAAAAAATACATGTAAAAAAGCTTGAAAAATCGTTCCAAATAACAAATTGTACAACTTTTTTTGCAATTTTTAAACGTAAACATTGATAAAAGAATTGTTGTCATATAGTTAGTGTCAAAGTTCAATTTTTCTGTTTGCCGATTCGTCAAAACCGTGTCACGTGCCGGTCAACAAAACGTCATGTTCGGCAACCGGTCCGCAATGAAACATTTATTGACCGGTCAATAATAAAATGGGTGCAATACGCATGCGTGTCAACCATGAAGTTCCAAAGTTCATTTTTTTAACTTTTTACTAAACATTTATGGCGTTCCATTTATCCAGTTTTGGTTTCAAATTAAGTTCACTCCAATAACCGGTGAATTATTAATATTTTGACACTTATATCCTATATAACAAAACGCTTATTTACTGAGACCTCGGGAAAGCAGTGTGTTTTGTGGCCCCTCGACGAACGGCGGTCTCAGGTTCACAAAACACATTGTTTCCCACTTTCCCTCGGTCTCAGGAAATAAGTGATAAATATTGTATGGTAAATCCTAAAGTATAGGGCAAGTTTGTGTCAATTGTTTATGTATGACTTTGTATTTAATAATGTAGACTTCGTTCTTGATGTTTAAATCTTTCCTATATGCATTGTTTGCGAAAGTTTCTTAGTTAAATTAACTTTTGTAGAAGTTCATGCATGATAAAAAGGAAAGCAAATTTTTTTCATTAGCGCGTCCTGTACGAATTAAATTGGTTTCATTTCAAAGTGCGAGTAATAAGTTGAAGCTCGAGTTGATAAGTTTATAAATATCGGTAAAACGCAGTTAATTTCAATTCACATTTAAAAACGTTTTATGTAGTGTTTCGTTTTGAATTTTACATTAAAATAAAGCGCATAGAAACGAAAATATTATACCTACTTTATATATTTTAGAAATTGATAGTTCTGTATTTAAAAGTGTTCAAATTTCATCTATTTTTCCTGGTTTGTACGAAAATTTACGTGGCAACCATGACGTGGCAACGCGAGCCTGCGTTCAGTGTTGGCGTAGTTACGAAAACTTCATGTTGAAACAATGTTTGGAAAATATAGGCGAGGGGTTGTTGCATGCATGTATTTCTAGTTAATAAGTAATAGCATGGTTTCTCGTTTGGATTAACATGCACTCGTGAGTTTTTCAAAGACCTCAAAATTTAAATAGTACTCGTCCTTTGCATTCGTGCTATTTCAGTTGAGGTCTTTGAAAAACTCACTCGGCCATGTTATATCCAAATTGCACTCAAAACCATGCTATTACCTATACTTACATGCTGCATATGTACTCAACAAATTCCTGTGATATTTCTCATTAACGCGAGTAACATACAGAGATGCAGCGTAAAAACACAAGGGATTGTAAATTTGAAGTTTGTTCATTGCTCAAAATTCTCAAAATTGTGTAGACAAACGCAAACCAGTTTCAATGTCATGCACGTCCACTAAACTATATAATAGTAATCGACAATCCCAAGAGGCAAGAGCATCCATTATCTAGTTGAAATTTCGACATTTACCACTCCATCTGCCTTCTAGAGTATTCCGTTTTCCAAAAGTACTAGAAATACATACATGCAACAACCCCTCGCCTATATTACATACATAGACACATACATAATTTTTTGTGTTCCTCAAAAAGGCTTTTCAACACTAATTTGCATGGTTCCATGG